AATTGAGAGTTAGTTAACAGTGAGAACTGATCCCCCCCCAAAAATTATGATTGAATAATCATACTGAAAGTAAATGCAAGACATGATACAAGATGATCTTCAACCTCTGGAGGAGATCGTCATCCAACACATGGGCTGCGTCCGAAACCGCATACTTCCACTATATAGTACGCTAAAATCAGTATGCGAGCAGAGTAGTATGTCTGAATTCATAGAATACGAAAATCAGTAGACGAGAAGTACCCGGATGACTTACTACTTCCGGCGAGATTCTGGAGTGCACATCCCATACACGCTGTGCTATCCCATGATGCCCTGCGATAGAATTCATGAATGGAAGTGAAGCGACGCAAATGACACAGGTAGGTCATGTGACCATGCCAAAATGGCAGATGTAGTACGTCCGAATTCCATTCATAAGCTGCGTCCCAAATCGCATACTTATGCACTGTTCTACGCCATTTTGTAGTATAAATAGTGTAAGTAGAGTGTTCACACTGAAAACTCTAAAAATATTAAATGCACTTTAATTATCCGGATGATGCACTCATTCAGCCGCTAAAATGAAGTGTGTAATGATGGACACTTCACGCACTCAACGACTGCAGGCTTGCTTACATAGCGGAAGGGGCGGAGCTATCGGACACACATGTTGGATAACTTTATTTATTTTGGATGGTGAAAGCAAAATTCTCCTACGAGAGTGATTATAGCGCCTCCCGATGGTGAATGCCGTTATACTCACGGCAGGTATTATTTGATAATTCGGTCGTTTATTTCACTGATTTGGCGACCGTCAAACGTCATCAGGGAAACGGTTTGAATTTCCGCTTAGTAAAAAAACATTAGTGTGCCATTTGGGACGACACTACATACATATACTATCCTGTTGAGTTGAAATACAACTGGTTTGTAAATAATGCAATACTTAATTTAGTAATGAATATATAAATCATTAACTAAGTATGAAAATACAATTATTAAACACATTATATAGGTGCTTATAAGTCAAGAATATAGCATTTGTAGCTGCAGTTATAAACTGCTTACTAACACTTATTAATGTAGAGTTAATGCTTAACAGATAATGAATTCACTAGATGCTAATGCTTAGTAAATGATTCTTAGTGTGTAGTTATTATAAAGTGTTACCATATATTAATAACTTTTATTTAGATTAAATACCTATAAAATCTAATGATTAGATATCTGATTTATCAAGTAATTCCAAACAATTGGATAGTTAAAACCACGCATTAAATTGTGAGACAGCTTATCATTTGTTAGACATATTTTTTGATGTGCCTAAGTGATTTAATGTCTCTCTTTTAATTTCATGTCTAACAGAAGCACTTTCACGTCCATCTCATGAGCATCATCCACTTGCCTCCATGACATTACAACATAAAGCACATAGCTAAAAGTTTCTCTAATTCAGAAACTTTTTATCTTTCATCCAGTGCTGTGCTTGGCAGGGTACTACACTGGATAGTGTGGCCGGCTAATTTACTATTTCATACCAAATCAGCCCTCACACTGGTGTCACTGAGTACAAGAGAGAGGTGAGGGGGTGGAAAGAGATTATCTGTCCAAGAATGCAAGTCAATGGCAAAAAAAAAAAAAAGAGAAAGAAAGGAACTGCTGAGTCCAGGCTTTGTCTGTGCTGCAACTGAAAAATAAAACAGACAAATTCATAAGAGAAAATCGACAAATACATTTCATTGAATGATCAAGTTAATCTGTACAAAAATGTCAACAACTACTAACATTGCCTTGTTAAATGACCAAGATAAAAAAAAGCACAAAAAGCATTTCTCCTATGCAGCCATATATGGCAATTAATTGTAATGCAGATATATTCTTTGAAATGATTTTTCTGGAATTAAGGAGAAAAACAAAACAATGGGAATTTCAGCTTTTGTATATATAACTGCAATAGGGTATATGCGGAGCTAGTGTTTCTTCCCATACTAATAAACTTTCAGTAAACAGTTAATGTGACTTTTTTCCACTTTATACAGTTCCTTTCACAGCAGCGATGTTGTAATGTAATTAAAAAATAATCAGTTATATAGACGTTGCCATTTATTTAGTTGCTCAAGTGTAAACGAGACAAAAAGCCGTTTACTCGTACGCTCCTGTCAGAATCGGCAGGTGAGCGCAGAAGCTCCATTGAATATTCATTCATTCATTTTCTTGTCGGCTTAGTCACTTTATTAATCCAGTGTCACCACAGCGGAATGAACCGCCAACTTATCCAGCACATTTTTACGCAGCGGATGCCCTTTCAGCCGCAACCCATCTCTGGAAAACATCCACACACACACACTCATTCAAACACACACCCATACACTCCGGACAATTTAGCCTACCCAATTCACCTGTACCGCATGTCTTTGGACTGTTGGGGAAACCGGAGCACCTGGAGGAAACCCATGCGAACGCAGGGAGAACATGCAAATTCCACACTGAAACGCCAACTGACCCAGCCGAGGCTCGAACCAGCGACATTCTTGCTGTGAAGCGACAGCACTACCTACTGCTCCACTGCGTCACCCCTCCATTGAATATACTGGGGGTAAAATAAAAGTTCATATTTTAAAGACCTGGTGGGGAAAAATGTAATTTAATGCAGTGCTTCTTATATAATCTGAGACTCACTTTATATCAAATATTACTCAGCCAGTGTACAGACTTTAAACACACCAATTTTGTAATGGCATACAGTTCACCGGAAGAGCATAACCCAGCTTAACAAATTAAAAGTCCTTTAGCATACTTCCGCATATACCCTATAGACCAATTACCAACCTACGTCATACGTGTCCCCGGTTGCAAAAAAAGACAGGCTGCAATAGTCGTGCTGTGCAGTAGGATGCCAAATTCGAAAAATAGAGAACTTAAATTTTTTTTTTGTTTAATATATTTATTTATTTTAAAGATTTAATTTTTGCCTTTATTATTAGATAGGACAGATTTTAGACAGGAAGTGTAGTGGGAGAGAGAGAGACAGGGGGTACGGTAGGGAAATGTCCTCAAGCCGGGAGTCAAACTCGCAATGCACTGACGTGCTATTGCACCTTATGTCAGCGCGCTAACCACTAGGCTATTGCGCCAACGAGAACTTAACTTTACCATACACCACACTGCTTTAATGCCAACTGCAGACGTCATTGTCTAAAAGGGAGCTAAATGGAGTGAAGGCCTAATAAAAATGCTGGACTCTGCAGTTTGTCATAACAGGTAAGTTCACGCTATGCTGAATCATACACATTACTTGTTTTTGATTTTATCAAAAACTGTTATGGTTAATTTAACTGCGGACACTGAATGCTAAGAATGAAATGTGAAAGTTATTAAGGTAAACTTGGTTTTTTATTCACACATTCATTCAGTGACAACTTGTGACACACTCCCTTTATTGTTTACCACGGCACTTTGAATATTCCGTCTGAAATAACCTGCAAGTGTGACTTGAAAACAATATTAACACTGTTTATTTGACTGTGAACAATGCTGTACTTTGACAGTCGTTTGACAGTGCGAATATAAAACCAACTTTACCTCTATGTGTAAGTTCAAATACCTTGCCGTACAGGTGTAGTTCACTGTCAGAATGCTGTAGTTTTAATAATAAATGTTTACAAAGCATTTCGAAAATCACGATCGCAATATATATGTCCATGCCTGATATAAAATGGCGAGAAAGTGATTCATTGATATTTTTTTATAAATTGTTAAAATTTTGGTATTTGTGATGCAGCAAGCCCAGAGATTGTTGTGTTCACTATGACTTTATATAAATATGAACTTTAATGAGTGATATGAATAAAAAGTGATCATAAACGAATGATTTCTCAACTCAAATGAGTGGCAGCTTGGACCCGGAAACAGTATTACGTACGCCGCCAACACGTCACCACCTAACAAACGGATACTCTATGGGGTATATGCCGAAGCATGCTAATAGGACTTTTAATTTGTCATTAACCTGGGTTAAGTGCTTCCGGCGAATTGAATGGCAATGCAAAATCCGGTGCGTTTAAGGTCTGTTTTCTTTAAAAAATCAGCGATCTCCTCTAGCTGAGTGATATCCGATTTAAAGTGGGTCACAGATTGTACAAGAAGCACTGCATTAAATTACGTTTCCCCCGCCATATCTTTATAATATGAGCATTTATTTTACCCCAGTATATTCAATGGAGCTTCTGCGTTAGCCTGCCGATTCTTACGGGCGCGTGCGAGTAAACGGCTTTTTGTCTCGTTTTACGCTTGAGCAACTAAATAAATGCTAAAGTTTATTTAACTGAATGTATTTTAATGACATTACAACATCGATGCTGTATAAGAAACGTATAAAATGAGAAAAAGTTCACAATAACAGGTCACCGGAAGTGTATCAGCATGGCAACAGCACTAGCTCGGCATATACCCTATTAGGATTTATTTGTTTAACCTTTTACAGGGAAAAGCAGTAGAATCCCAGGACCAAGACAGATTCTAATAAAACCAACATAAATTCCACAATAACCATTACAAAAGCGTTAAAATTTCTGTGGTGGTATTTTATTCTTACTTTTTAAATAGAAGTTCCCCAAAAAAGTAATCCAATTTAAAATGGTGTAGGCTGTTGTTTAGGATAAAGGCAATTTTTTTTATTAAATAAAAAAATATATATTAATATCATTACTTAATATTTTTGTTTAATATTTATCGCAATTTTATTATCAAAAAATATTACTTTAGTCCTCTACATTTTAATGTTTGCCATATTTTTCAGAAAGTCTTTAAAAAATGAATCGTCAGTTACTCACTTAAAAAATCTGATGAAACACAGGCGGGGGGTGTCTCTTCTAGCCTGATGACGTCGTCATACGTCTCGGCCAATAGCAATGTAGGCGTGAGCGCTTAGGCACGTCCGATTGGTCAAAAGTTGACGTTTCAACACTGACTGATATAAATGTCAACATAGAACTTGTAAGCATGACAAAGACCCAACACTTGTAAGAACATAACTAACGGGACATTCATTATTAAAGATCCCATAGAACAATAAAGAGCGGTGCGATAATTCAGTATGGTGGACAGTGTTTACCGTACACGCTCTCTCGGTGTTGGTGCTGTTGGACTTCCTGATCAGTATGCCGACGGCAAAGCAGCGAAAGTGTGGCAGCTGTACATCGGAGACACTCGGAGCAGGACAGAAGAGTACAAGAGCTGGGTGCTGGCCCTACTCAGGAAGCATGGGGTTCAGAGGGTGCTGGATGTAGCCTGCGGCACAGGGTATGACATAAATCGTGATTAAATCAGGAAATGAAAGAGACTTTCTTGCATAATACGAGACTGGCGTCGTGTTAAAGTGTATTTATTATAGAGGTAAAGTTGGGTTTATATTCGCACATTCGTTCATTTAGAAGTCCCTATATTGTTTACCCTGTTACTTTGAATATTCGATCGGAATTACTATGCAAGTATGACTTTAAAACAACATTAACACTATCTAACGTTAATTCACTGTGAACATGTACTTTGATAGTCATTGGCTGCTAATGTGATTTCCATATTTATAATTTGCAAAGAAAACTTTTCTGAAATTATATTATTAAGGAGAAAGTCTGAATATCCAAATATAAAACAAACTTTACCTCATAAAAGTAAAGTTGGTTTTATATTCGGATTTTTCCCCTTAATATTATCATTTCAGAAAAGTATTCATTGCAAATTTTAAATAGGGAAATCATATTAGCAGCTAATGACTATCAAAGTACAACATTGTTCACAGTCAAATAAACAGTGTTAATGTTGTTTTCAAGTCACACTTGCATGCTAATTCCGATCGAATATTCAAAGTAACATAGTAAACAATATATAGACTGCTAAATGAACGAATGTGTGAATATAAAACCAACTTTACCTCTATCTTTACCTCAATGTATTTATTTACTGCATTTGTCTGGCAAATTGGGTAATTTCATATTTAAATAGAAAGTACATAGCCAAATGAACGGAGTTTAGTCTACTGACGGATTGTTTACTCTTGGTTTACTCGATGCCACCTCTCGGAAATCTGGGTCAATTGATTCAGCACTGTTATGGTTTTTTTGGATAACGTTAGTGATATTTATTTTAACTTTAGAAATAGAAAGTTTTGTGTTCTAATAGTCAGATAAATTATAGTTCTTTAATATAACAAATGAGCCACAAGATTATCTGCTTCCTTTTAATGAAACCGTGATTCACCAGCTGTGTCTATCTGATATCTGATGTCTGCTGATTCTGCAGGCAGTGCTTGAGATAAAGTTGGTTTTATATTCGGATATTCAGACATTCTTCTTAATAATATAATTTTAGAAAAGCATTATTTGTAAATTAATAGAGAAATCATATTAGCAGCAAATAACTATCAAAGTGCAGCATTGAATTCGCAGTGAATTAGATAGTGTTGTTGTTTTGAAGTCATACTTGCATGCTATTTCAGACTCAATATTCAACATAGTGTGGTAAACAATATAGAGACTGCGACTATAAAACCAACTTTACCTCTATGTGCTTAAGTAGGATTGCTATATTTTGAGAAACGCCTTTGTGGGCAATTATTAACTCAGCACAAGTTACAAAACCTGTTTTCCATTTAGACATACCTTTGAACTCCAGCCCAAATGTTTTATTCTGCTTTCAACCTGAATAATGCATGTATATTCAATTTCCTGGGTTACTAGAAATGATCTTCATGAAACATGTCCAGTTTTAAAGAAAAAGACCTGCACGTTTTCCAGTATCGAAGAAGAAACACTGAGAATCTTGATAAAGGGTAAAGTTGGTTTTATATTGGCACATTCAGACTTTCTCCTTAATAATATAATTTCATAAAAGTATTTTTTGCAAACTCTAAATAGCGAAATCATATTAGCAGCCAATGACTGTCAAAGTACAGCATTGTTCATAGTGAATTAGATTAGAGATTGAATTGTTTAGAGGTCACACTTGCATGCTAATTCCGATCGAATATTCAAAGTAACATGGTAAACAATATAGGGACTTTCTAATTGAACAAATAAGTGAATATAAAACCAACTTTACCTCTATAGAACCTTAAGCATTTATTTTGTCACTTGTGACTATAAAAAAAGCATAAGCTTGGAGCTTATTTTCTGCAATAAATAAATAGTAAGTTCATAATGGTAGTCTTTTGTTAATGCATGTACCAACACAATCTCACGGCAATTCGTAACTTTTTGATTTAGTGGCTAATTCGTATAAATTCGTACAATCTAATTCGTATAATTTAGTACGGTTTGTTCATCACCCAATGACGGTTGGGTTTAGGGGTGGGGTTAGGTGCCACGCCTCCTTTTTAAAATCGTACAATTTCGTATGACTGAACTTGTACCAATTAGCCACTAAAGTGCCAAAACGTAAAATACTTACGTTTTCTCGTGAGATCAGGCTGCATATACTGTAAGTAATATACAACAATATACAAGTCAGTTATAAACTAATTCATTCAGCTGTTAACATGTCTGTTTAGAGGGGGAAAAGAAAGGGGTTTTCAATCAAGATTGCCCTCAAATATTAAGAATTAGACCATTCTTATTAATGTTATGACAATTTGCTTACAATCCTTACTGATTTCTTATCTACTTTGTATAACGGTAAGCAACATTTGTTTGCCGAAAAATAATAATAGCAATAAAAAATGTAATCAATTGATTGTCAGATGTCTCATTTCTGATGATTTACTATTAAGTTAGTTCATTTGAATTTCTGTGTTCATTAATTCATTTGTGCTTTTGTAAAGAACTCACAATCTTTTTAACATTAACAAGTTTTGACAGGTTAGTGTCTGCATGGGAAAAACCACCTGGACCATTGATTGTTTTGGCTTTATCAGCATTAGTAGATAATCTATGAAATTTCTTCCACTAGAGTACACAAACAGGTACATCAGTTAAACATTTCTAATGTGTTTAAAATTAGACTTCGTATATAGATTTCGTAATATCGAATAGGTTAATATGTGTTGTATGTATTATAAATACAGTTGCAATCAGAATTATTAAACCCCCATTGCAATTTTCACAGTATGTCTGATAATATTTTTTCTTCTGGAGAAAGTCTGATTTGTTTTATTTCAACTAGAATAAAAGCAGTTATAATAAAAAAATATATATATACATTTTTAGGTCAACATTATTAGCCCCTTTAAGCAATTTTTTTATTCAATAGTCTACAGAACAAACCATGTTAATACAATAACTTGCCTAATTACCCTAACCTGCCTAGTTACCCTAATTAAGCTAGTTAAGCCTTTAAATGTCACTTTAAGCTGTATAGAAGCGTCTCGAAGAATATCTAGTCGAATATTATGTACTGTCATCATGGCACAGATAAAATAAATCAGTTATTAGAAATGAGTTATTAAAACTATTATGATTAGAAATGTGTTGAAAAAATCCTCTGTCCGTTAAACAGAAATTGGGGAAAATATAAACAGGGGAACTAATAATTCTGACTTCAAGTGTATGTTTTGCTGTTAATAGAATCAAAATGATCGTCTAAATCAGGGCTGCCTAAACCAAATCCTATTAAAGGCAAGCCTGACATGATCAGCCTAAAAAGCATAACGGCTAATGCTAACATCTATGGCAGTATGCAGTGAAGGAACCTAAAAGCCACCATGTGATTGACATGTGTTAGCGTTACAGGCTTTCCAATGGTAGGCAATACATTACATTATTTTCATTTCTTTCATAGTATGAAAACTCTGTCCTGCAGAGTTTAGCTTCATTCTTACCTTAACACACCTACCTGGCATCTTCAGGTAAAATGACAAGTAAGAGCTTGATTAGTTTGTTCAGGTGTGTCTTATTTGGGTTGGAACTGAACTCTGCCAGGCCCCAGCCCTACTGGGCCAAGTTAAGGAACTGTACAAAAAATACAAAATAAAATCTGTATTTTTTTTTTCTGTATAGTTCGTTTATCAAGAATCTTGATTGTAAATTATACATTGAAAATTTTTTTACCAATGTTTTCATGAATATAGCGAATGCTGCTGATATATGGCATCAAAACATTCATTTTCTTTCCGCCTAGTCCCTTTATTAATCAGGGGTTGCCACAGCAGAATGAACCGCCAACTTATTCAGCATGCATTTTATGCAGCAGCGGATGACCTTCCAGCTGCAACCCAGTACTGGGAAACATCCATACACACTCATTCACACACACACACTATGGACAATTTAGCTTACTCAATTCACCTATAGTGCATGTCTTTGGACTTGTGGGGGAAACCGGAGCACCTGGAGGAATCCCACGCAAATACGGAGAGAACATGCAAACTCTACATAGAAATGCCAGCTGAGGCTCGAACCAGCAACCTTCTTGCTGTGAGGCGATCGTGCTTCTCATTGTGCCACCGTGACTCCTGGCATTAAAACATAAATAAATATATTCACATTATATTATACTGTCCCACTCACAGAAGTGTGACTACATCAGGAAGTATTATAGGTTGTTTAAGCTGCTGTTATTTTCGAGTAGAAATAACTCTTTAAGTGTGAATGAAAAATAAAATATATATTTGAATATCTTACTTTAAATTATTTTAAAACATTTTTTTCCTTAACAACCATGTTTTCTGCTCTGAGACTTACAGGAAATTTTATTTTGATTACCTCTTAAATAAATAAAAAAGAGGTATTGCAATATTCTGTCATTGACAATATTCATGATTTTTAAAATGAAATACAGATGCCATGTTAACATAGGGTGTGAAACATTGGTATTGACTATAACCACAATATTCATTATTATATTATATTATAAAATTATTAGGTAAATGATATTGTGACAAATGAATAATCAAGTGTCAGTACCTGGTTGAGCTTTCAGGTGGCAGTAATGCACCTCTGACACCTGTCAAAAGACAACATCCAAAAGAAAAAAAGAACTATGTCGTCCGCGCAGGAGACTGAGACTCTGTTCACACATGTAAATGAAGGAATGCACAGATTCCCCACTGGAATGGTGCTGCTGCAGGATTCTAAAGATGTTTTTAACTGGGTGCACCTGGAAGGTGCAAGTGCGTTACTCCCAATATTTGCCCACAAGCCGCACCTCTCTGTTGGAAATAACGAACTTGTGCGCAGAAAAGACATGATATGTAAAAGGTCCCTTGTCAGCCTTTAAGGTCGCCGTCATTTGCAATCTCCAGAGGTTGATCTTCTTGCAGAGCCATGCTGAATTCACCTGATTTGTTAACAAATGGGTTGCAGATCCATTCCTTGGCAGTTCGTGGGTCGTTCACTAGGTTTTTTCCCCTTCACAAAGAAACATTCCTACATACGTCTGTTTCTTTCTCATTTTGCTAGCTTTGCGGTTAAATTTTGGCGCTTAAGTGACGAGATGTAACTGAGAGAATACGATCATTTTTCAAAATAAAAGATCATTCAGACTCGGATGAAAAATAAAATGGAAATATCTAATGATTTCTTGTGTGGCCTAGTACCAGTTGATGCCCAGGGGTTGAGGACCACTGTTTTAAATCAACATCTACCTGATATAATGTTTTGTTGCTGCTTTGTGTTTAACATAAATAAAGTGCAGTTATAAAATAACTGCTGATACATCCTGTGATAAAGCAAATAATCATTTTGCTCAATTTTTTTCCTGGTTTCTAGAAAAAAAATAAAAGCAAACTTTTTTTTTTATGAGTATTAAATCAGCCAATTTCCCAAAACTTTGATCAAATGGGTATTCATGACTGGTGCATCATTAGCTGTGACCAAATGTAGGAGGTTAGTCACCCTAGTGTGGAGAATACGTCTAGAGCAACATTTGGGGAACCAGAAATAAATAGAGGAAAAAGAAAAACAAAATAATCAAAAGTAGAAAGAAAATTACAGCTTTTTTTTTCCTCAAAGGTTTCTATAAATACCATAAAATATATCGACAATGTGAATTCTTTTAGTCACAATAACCATAGTGTAAAAAATCATGATAGCCCTTATCAAAAGCTCAAGTAAAAGTTGAGATCTTAATGGGTGACCCTTTTAAATCTTAGTAGGTAGAAGTACGTACAGTTTCCCCTTGTCCCTTAAAACCGAGTGTGAAGGGGAACGGCTTCAAAATGTACCCTTAAGAATTGGGACAGCACTACAGCACCTGCACAAGTCATCATACGTCATCTTAATCTCTTGCTTCATATGAGATCAGACGATCGCGACTGCTGTAGTTATTCCAGTCGCCTTATTTTTTGGTATTTATCTTCTGGTAATCACTGAAGTCGTATATTATGTTATCATAACGATCTTATGTGGCAATGTAACTGTACTGGTCATATTCATATGTAAACACACGAAAACAACATTAACATTATAGTAGACAATAAAAAATTCATTCCCAGCCACTAGACTTTTCTGACAGGGTATACGAGCGTCATCGAGTGACAGTATGTTGTGAGACTGCTATACATTAGTAATGATTAGAAGTTTTAGATTGCGAAATTTAGCAGTTTTTATTTAAAAACCTTCATTTGAATGGCTATTCACCTTAGCCCTACGCCTTCAAGCTTAAGAGAGTAAGGACACCCCTACCCCTTGATGTGAACGTGCAAAACGAAGTGTAAGGGGAAGGGCTAAAGGGTAGAATTGGGATTGGACCTTGGAGTAAGATGCTGTTAGTGCCATGATGTATTGTTACTGTCATCATCATCACTATTTATTCCTTTTCAAAGGGTGGATTCCATCATGTTGGTAGAAGAGGGATTCAGCGTGGTTAGTGTGGATGCTAGTGATAAAATGCTGAAATATGCTCTTAAAGAGAGATGGGAGAGAAGAAAAGAGACAGCTTTTGATAACTGGGGTAAGAGTGATCTCTGTTTTGTGTGTGGAACTTCACTACTACTAGTGAATGGGTTAAATGTTTATCCATGGTCTGTTCCATTCAGTGATTGAGGAGGCCAACTGGCTAACATTACCAGAAGATGTTAAGAAGCCTGGAGATGGCTTTGATGCTGTAATCTGTCTTGGGAACTCATTTGCTCATTTACCAGATTTTAAAGGTAAGAACACCAAAGTAAAGGAAAATTAAACTGTACGTTGTATTCACTCCTGTAAAGTTCATTAGTACAATAACTTTGGTCTAGACCAGGGGTGGGCAAACTCGGTCCTGGAGGGCCGGTGTCCTGCACAGATTAGCTCCTACTCTAATCAAGCACACCAGGGCCCGGTTTTTCAAAAGGTTTAATCCGGATAAAATTGATCCGTATTTAGTAATCCTGTTTTTGCAATCCGTGATCACGTAATCCAGCTAACTTTTTGAGCCAGTTTTTCAAAGCAACATTGGATTGGATCATTCTGATCCAGATAGGAACTTTTCAGGATCACTAAATCTGAATTACCAGTGCTCAGTCACAATGTAGATGGATAGATAGGCCTATGTAAAGAGCAACAAGTAGAATAGCCAGTGTGGGGTCAATATAACTTTATTTTTATTTGAAATGAAAACTAAGAAAATTTTATAAATAATAAAATAATTATAATAATAAAAGCAAGAAAAACACCACCCCATCCTCTTACAGCAGTCCGCTCATCTGAGATCTACAACACTGTACATTGAGGATATTTATAAGTTTCAAATATAGATGTATTGAATAAAAAAATAGACAATGTTGAAACCTTCACAATAATGTCAGACTTCCTTATCTGATGTGGAGGGAGCAGCTTGTCTGAGCGTATTCTTTAGGAGGCAGATCTCAAGTGTGGTCTTGGTTTGCTGCAGTTTGGTCAGAGTCAGTTGTTCAATTGTTGAAAGTGATTTCAAAAATCAGGCATTGCCATTCTTGATTTATATATATATATATATATATATATATATATATATATATATATATATATATATATATATATATATATATATATATATATATATATATATATATATATATATATATATATATATATATATATATATATATATATATATATATATATATATATATATATATATATATATATATATATATATATATATATATATATATATATATATATATATATATACATATATATATATATATATATATATATATATATATATATATATATATATATATATATATATACATATATATATATATATATATATATATATATATATATATATATATATATACATACATATATATATATATATATAT